GTCTGCGTGGGTTTCTACCAGATGCTCTGGCTTCCTTCCACAGTCCAAGGATGTGCAGGTTACGTGGATTGGCCATACTAAATTGTCCTGTAGTGTCCAGAGATGAGGAGGTTAGGTGGAGTAACTGTGGTTTTAAAAAAAAGTAGGTTACAGGGATAGATTGGGGTAGTGGGCCTGGGTGGGATGCTCTTTGGAAAGTTGGTGCAAATTCAAATGGCCTCTTTCTGCACTGTAGGGATTCTATGAACAGCCTATGAGCAGGAACAGAGCCAGGAGAAAGGGGCAAGAAGGTTAAAAACACATACATAGGAAAAACAATTATCTGTAAACTGATTAAATGGAGGCCAGGAATCGATTAACAGACTGAAATAATAATAGTGCAAGTCAAAAAGGGACAACGGGGAGAAAAGTTAGAGATAGAGATACAAAAGATATCTGAGATTCAGAATTGCAGAAGGGATGAAAAGATGGAAAATCTGGAAAAGTGGAAAAGTTTGCAGTGGCTCAAGCATATGGTGCAAGGAAAACAGCAGGTAGATCCCAGCAGTGTAGACCAAATGACACTATTTTGTCACTTTACACAGAAGGCAAAGCATTTGGATTTACAAAAGGCATTTGTAGCAACCTTTTTATATGGTAACATAAAAGCTTTCAGTACTGGGGGCAACATATTAACATGGATAGAGGACTGCTTAGCTAACAGTAAAGAGAGAACCTAAATACACAAGTTATTTTCAGCGTGGCAAACTGTAACTAGCAGAATACCACAGAAATCAGTCCTAGGGCTTCAACTATTTATAACCTGTAACAATGTCTCCTCATCCAAGCTAGACTGTATTGTGGCCAAATTTGATGATATGAAAATAGGAAGGAAAGCAAGTTGTGAGGGGGATACAAGTAATCTGTGAAAAGATATAGGTAGGTTAATTGAGTGGGCACAAATTTGGCAAATTAAGTATAATGAGGGAAAAAATGAGGTCGCCCACTTTGGCAGAAAAGAGGAACTCTGCAGAATGCTGTAGTAGAGGGATCTGGGTGACTTTGTACATTAATCACAAAAAAAAAATCAATATGTGGCATGGCAACTAATTAGGAAGGAAATCAGAATGATGGCCTTTATAGCACGGGAGGTGGAGCTTTAAACCAGGGAAGCTTTGCTACAACTGTAAAAGGTGAGACCACACTTAAAAGAGGATTATGTGCAGCTTCAGTCACTTTGCTGAAACTAAAAAGTGGACCAACCAAGCCACACCTATCTGCCACCTTTAACATTCAGTCCTTCCACTAATCGACAGTGGCAACAGTGTGTACTATCTACAAATGCACAGAAATAACTCACCAAGACTCTCTAATAGCACCTTCCAAATAACCTATACCATTTAGAAGGAGAAGGACAGCAGATGCATGCAAACAACACTACCTGCAGGTCCCCCTCCAAGTCACACACCATCCTGACTTTGAACCATATCATTGTTCCTTCACAGTCACTGAGTTAAAAATCCTGAAACGCTTCTCCAACAGCATTGTAGGTGTCTTTACACCCCAAAGACTGCAGTGCTTTAAGAAGGAAGCTCACTGCCACCTGCTCCAAGGCAATCAGCGATGGACATTAATTGCTTATCTAGCCAATGCTGCCCATTGATTCCTGGAATGAGGGCTGTGTCTTACAAGGAAAGATTGAGGAGACTGGGCCTATATTTATTGAAGTTTAAGAATGAGAATAATCTTATTTGGAACGAAAGATTCTGAGGTGACTCATGCGTGATGTGTACGTGTCGGATCTATGGCACAGAAATGAGCCATTCAGCCCAACAAGGCCATGCTAGTGTTCATGATCTGTTCAAATCTCTTCCCATCTAAATGAATCATCATAATCCTCTATTTTCTTCACCTTCAAATGCATCTATACAATTCTCCTCAATTACTCCCAGTGGTAGGACATTCAATATTTTCACAGAAAGAATAAATGTTCAAAGATGATTTAAAAAGATGCTACCAGAACTGCGTAGGTAAGCATGGGTCTTTTTGTTTTTCCTGTTGTCTTAAAATAAGGGTGAAGAGTCACCTAGTAGAGGTCTTTCAAATTTTGAAAAGACTCTGATAGAGTGAATACAACAGAATGTTTTCTTTTATTGGGAAAAACATAGCTAGAATCCATCAATACAAGACAGTTACCAAGAATACCAATAAATAGATGCTGAAAAGGATGCTCCTGGTTCATAGCGGAAATCAAAAACAAGGGACACAGCTCAAAAATAAGGAACTCCCATTCAACATGGAGACAAGGAGGAACTTATTTTCTTGGAGGATTGTTACAACCCTGGAATTCTCTTTAGCAAATAGTGGAGGCTGATCATTGAATTTATTCAAGGCAGAGTTAAACATATTTGATTGACGGTGAAAGTCAAAGTTTCTGAAGTGGAGGAATTAGATCAGCCAATATCTTAGGTGAATTACACAGAAGGTTCAAAGGGATCTAACAGTTTATTCCTGTTCCTACTTCTAATTATTCCCGTATTCTTACTCAAATTGTTGATGCAGGAACATATACTTCTTTATGGAAAGTCATTTATAAACAGAATATTGTAAACCTTTCATTAATGACATCAAAATTACATTCAGTGGAGATACTCTTTAAATCAAGTCAAATCTGAAAGTATAATGCAGTATAAACAAACCATCATAAATTTCAATTTGATTCTGATTCAACCAGTACAGTTTCTAGTTTTATGCAAGTTTGTTACATTCAGACTCATTACATACAACAGGAATACACTGCACATAGAATAGTGCTTATTTTAACTCAGCTATTTTAGTACAATAAGTAAAAAGCACAGACTAGTTTGAACATTCCTTGAAGACTGTGTACTGTCTACTATTTGTATTATTTTAACTGCTGACCATGAGACAGTGATACTGGTTTGTGATACATTACTGTACTGTCATGTTCTCAGAGCTCTTTGTGAAGAGGCAGTCTGCATAATTTTGATTCTGATCTAATAAAACCAAGACTCCCTTTGGCTAGGAAGGGCTCCTAAATATTCATGGTTTAGCAAGTATAAATTATATACACATTATAATTGGGCAAATTTCAGTCGCAGGGATTCCTGGAAGCTCACAAGTACAGCCTGAAGGAAGAGGAAATGCAGGGGATGGGCTATCCAGTGTTCTGAAAATTCCCCTTCACACCTGCAAAATATAAAATTGCAGCACAGCTAAAGAGCTACAACAAGTAAGGAGTAGAAATTTTCAGTTCTGTGGAGTACACTGAAAGTATAACAAATGAAAATACATCTGCTCTATTAAACTTGTTTCAATTGTACAAGCTTAGATCCTTGGTTCTGAATTCCAGATTCGACAAGAACCTGACAAACATTACAGCAGATTTCAAAAGACTAAACAGCTACTATACAGAATTTGTAGACAAGGTTAACAGAAAAACAACAATTAAGGCCAAATGTCCTCAGTAACTAGTTGATTAAATAGCACAAGTATGACCAACCTTACGGTTCCATATTACAGCCACCACCCCTTTCAACAAAATAAGCACCTGAGTTAATTAAACTAAATACCCACACTTACATAATGCAGCTTTAACAGAGTATCAAAAGCCAATTTTATCATTAACATTGTTAGTTGTGTTGCAAGATCATTTTGGCAAGCTTGAAGAAAATGCAGACAAATCATCAGCTAGTCATGTAGCTTTCGGAAAGATTTGCACCAAGTTTTTAAAATGGATCAGAACATTGGAATTTTTTGTGCCCAGTACGTTACACTTCAATTTTCTGTAGTTTTCCACTATCCTGGTTATGGACATCCAGGAGTTAAATCAATATATTTAAAAAAAAAGACATGGTGCTCAAAATACCTTTTAAAGATCTTTCTCATTTGAAGACATTGGCCAGCAAAAGGCAAGCCCTACTTCTAATGGAGTTGACTACAGGTTGCTTTTTAAAAATAGGAATAAAATAGTGAACATTCATGTTCTCTCACACAAATCCATTACAGTTTGGCTCAGCATATTTCAAAGACTGCGTGCAAACACTTCCATTCTGGCCCCAAATAAGTCAGCAGTTAAGCTGCCTCAGGTGCAAAGTTTTTTTTTTAAATATTCTGTATATTTTAATTGAACAAGGTTATACATTTCTTGTACTTGTATACAAATTACAAATATTTGGTGTGAAAATATAATCTATATATTCCAGTTCAACAAGAATTTGCAAAAGGTTTTGCAGTTCCTGCGTTGCTGACCCAAATTAGATGCAGAGCAATCATCACTGGCATTTGCTCTTTTAAACTATTTTTATCCTATTTCACTTTACGTTTGCTTTATTGCCATCAACTGCCAAGTGAACACAAGTTTCCTTTCCTTTATATTCGTGAATTCACAACATGAGGACAAATGGCATCAGGGAGTTAAGCAGTGATAGGTTAGATGCAGAGTAATACTCACTCTACTGTGACACTATTTAAACACTCAGAAGAGCACTACTACAGAGTCGGTGTAATCCCCATCCCATTTCTTCCAGTCAACTGGGCAATGTAAGACTGCCAATGTGTGAACAGTTTTATGTTATAGATTGGCTCCCAGCAGAAACAGAATTCAGATTCTTTAACCTCAGATCATGCATCATCCTTACAGGTGGCAAACAACAAAACTTTGAAACCCATTACTGTGGCAGGATTTGAATAGCCCATGTTACATACTGGGTATCTAATGCTTGAAGAATGACAAAGTTGAAAGTACACTTTAAGTTCATTAAGAAACAGAATCTTCGCGATGGCTTCCAAGTTAATTAAACACTTTGGTACAGTGCAATGTAAGGAGTATCTCCAAAATTGTGAGGGTTAAATTGTAATATCTGGATGGTTTATAATTATTTACAACCCCATCACATCAAAACATCCCAAAAAAAAAATTCAGAGAATTACTTTTTGGAGTGCAGTGATCACTATCTGGGAAAATGCAGCAATCATTCAGCGCCAGCAATATCCACAAATAAAAAGCTTCAAAATACTTTTATTTTGCTTTGTTAATTTACAATTTCATATGCTATGAAATTTTATTTTGCGTCAAGAATGCAAATAGCCAAGCTTGGGATACAGAGTCAGTTTGAATATTTTGCGCAGCACCACAGCCCAGGGACTTGTTTATCCTAACAAAACCTTTTAGAAGGAAATGCCCCAGAGAGTGCCTCTGCAGCTGTTTTTAAGTTACATTAGACGATGGATTTAGAGGACTGGCAAGCTGAGCGCTAAAACAGGACAGGGTTAACCAAGTATCCAAAAATAACAATGGACTGAAGAGAAATAATTTAGGCACAAAGAGAACTAAATGCTGGTCAGAATTACACTTGACTCTGGAGTGCATATTTATGTAATGCATATCATGGGGAGCAACAAAGAAATACAGAACCTTTTCTAAAGCCTGCATATAACCTCTCAATGAGGAATTGCTGTTATCCTCATACTCTGTGATGCAATTGGATAAGTAACCATTGGAGTGGTGGCATGACTAATAGTGATTCCTGGCATTGCTTGGGCAATTGATACTGCCACTGGTGCAACAGAAACAGCCACTGGGGCCATAGAAACTGGAGGTGCCATTCCCTGGGCAATGGTCTGGGCAAGCGCTGCAGGAAGTGAAGCAATCTCAGGATTAAGATGCTGTGCTGTTGGTGCAGCATTGGTAGGTGGAGCAGCAGTAGCTCCAGCAGTTGCCACGAGGTCTTGTTGGGTGACAGGTCGTGGTTGAAGTGCTTGGCTGCTCAAAGTGGTGTGAGTCTGCGCTATACCATGGTTGTAATTGGTGATTGCACCCACAGTTGGTGCTGCTAGCGTTTGCTCTGTTGCTGTGGGAGTGGAGGTCAACGTGACCACCTTGGTTTGGTTGCGGAAATGTGCATTTTGCTCCAAAAGTACCTCATTAGTTGCCATCAAATTTGAGATCTGTTTTTTGAGTTCCTCAACACGCTTTCGAAGCATCAGATTCTCCTCCTCTAAAAACCGATAGTCAACTGGACGCGAATTTGGGATATTAAAATCATAACTCTCAAATCGTAAGCCATCGACTCTTCGTCTTTTTAGAACATGGTCATAATCAGCATAGCGATCAGTGTCATAGAGGTCATCAAATGGGTCATATCGACGTACTACTGGAGAAATCACTTGGTCTCGTGACAACCTCTCCAAAGTTCTGTTTTCATATTCATATTCATCACGTTTTAAGTGCCGGAATTTACACTTAGATCCTCGTTGACAGTCACCTTTCAAGTAGTCTCGGCAAATTGGGACCTCACCTTTTTTAAAGGAGAGGTCAGAAGGTGAAAGGCCAAGACCCATAGCCACTGTAAGGCGCAGGCGTGGAGGAAGCTCTCCAGACTTTTTGTAATGTTCCTCATCCTCCTTTGTCCCATGAATAAACTTGCAGTTGATGCGAGTGCACTCCTTGTTCTGATAGTCATGACAAAAGACAAATTCATTTTTCTTTACGCCCAAGTCAGACACTTCATTAATATCAGGGTGATAGAACTTGCAGCGCTTACCACGTTTGCAGACATTGCGCAGGAAGTCTCGGCAAATATCATCTGAGCTGTGGCCAGCCTCGTCATTACCACTGTTAAATAAATTATCTTTATCCGGCATCTTCACAGACTATTTCTGTGCTTCTCAGCCACTGTACACAAAAACATCTGAAAAAGAAAATCAAGGTATGTCTTTACAGAGAAGGAGGAATTAGTCCACAAGCTAAGTGTTACTTGAACCACTGTAATTGGTGCTCAGCAAGCTAAGCAACGATAGTAGTGGAATTGAAAAAGGTTTCCAAATGTGTGTGTGGGTGTGTGTGTTCAGAGTCAGCAACATACATTACTAGGTTAGTTATACTACATGCTTCCCCATAATGTGGTTTCACTACAACTTGAGAAATCTACCTCCCACTGTACCAGTATCACATTTTCATCATTGACCCTTGGCAGAGTTGTGAATGAGGAGTATGGATTGTAATAAATTATAGGCTATTTTGTGTTTGACGTACATTCATTAAGAACTTGCCCGAGGTTTGCCAAACCTATATAATTTTGGATATCACCAACAAAGAACAAATAAGAACGTTTACTTCATTAGACTGGAATACATTAAATAACTGCATCTATACGTGGCAAATAAAAATTGCTTTTCTCAAAAAAACTCCAAGATTAAGACTTTTCATCACGAATTAGCTTAAATCGACATCAACGTACATGCATATTTTCAGAATTATCAGAGAGTAATTCACCATACAGTGTTTTCACACACCTCAAAAGTACCACTAAATGGAAGTAAGGAGGAAGATAGATTTCTTTTCTCAGCGCAGGAACAATTCCTGGTGTTGGGATAGGAGAAGACTGGGGAAAAAAGATTAAAGATAGGAGTACTTGACTCACAGACTGAAGCAAAAACTATATCTGCTTGCTTGGAACGAATTGCTGACTATGGCTTTTAGCAACCCAGGCTAAGGTAGTACACTTGCTCACTGAGCCGGTGTGTTTGGTTGCAGACATTTCGTCACCCTGCTAAGTAACATCGTCAGTGTGCCTCCAGTGAAGCATTGGTGTTCTGTCCCGCTTGTTGTTTATTTGCCTCGGTTTGCTGGGGTGGTTGGTATTACTTCCAGTTCTGTTTTTCAGTGGTTTGTATATCGGGTCCAGTTTAATGTGTTTGTTGATGGAGGTCCGGTTGGGATGTCATTCCCTGGCATGTCTCTGTTTGGCTTGTGCTATTATGGGTGTATTGTCCCAGTCAAACTGTGTCCTTCTTTGTCCATGTGTATTGAGACCAGTGAGAATTGGTCATTCTCTTGGTGGCTAGTTGGTGTTAGTGTATCCTTATTGTCAGTCATCTTCCAGTTTGGCCTATGTAATATTTCTCAGTCCTTGCATATTTTATTGGCTGTGGGTACGGGATCCTTTACGTTTGTCAGTAGCTGTCGCAGGGTGGTTGTTGGTTTGTAGGCTCCCCTGATACCTAGGGGTCTGGAGTAGTCTTGTGGTCATCTCTGATGTACGGTAGGGTGACTAGTGTGTCTGGCCATGTTGTGTCTTCTTGTCGTGGCCTGTCGCAGGGGTAATAGCAGATGTGCTTTTTGGGTACCCATTCTTTTTAAAAACTCCGTATAAGTGCTCCTGTTCTGCTTTGCGCAATTCCAGATTGCTGCAGTGTGATGTGGCCCATTTGAATAATGTGTTGATGCAGCTCCGTTATGGGTGTTGGGATGGTTGCTGGAGCAATTAAGTATCTAGTTTGTATGTTGTCTTTCTGTATACGCTAGTCTGGAGTTCCCCTTTGTTCTTACATTCTACCATTATGTCTAGGAAGGGTTGTTGGTTATTGCTCTCTTCTTCTTTTGTGAACTTTATTCAGGTGAGGATGTTGTTTATATGTCGATGGGTTTCTTCTAGTCTTGTGTGTTTGATAATCACGAAGGTGTCATCTCCATAGCGGACCCAGAGCTTGGGTTGTATAGTGGGGAACACTGTTCATTCTAACCTTTGCATTACCGCTTCTGCAATCAATCCTGCTCCCCACTATACAACCCAAACTCTGGGTCCGCTGTCTAGATGACACCTTCATGATTATCAAACGCACAAGACTAGAAGAAACCCATCGACATATAAACAACATCCTCACCAGGATAAAATTCATAAAAGAAGAGAACAATAACCGACGACCCTTCCTAGACATAATGGTAGAACGCAAGAACAACGGGGAACTCCAGACTAGCGTTTTACAGAAAGCCCACACATACAGACCAGATATTTAATTGCTCCAGCAACCACCCCAACACCCATAAACAGAGCTGCATCAGAACATTATTCAAATGGGTCACAACACACTGCAGCAATCTGGAATCGTGCAAAGCAGAACAGGAGCACTTAAAACGGAGTTTTTAAAAAGAATGAATACCCAAAAAGCACAATCCGCCATTAACGCTGTGACAGACCACAACACGGCAAGACACACTAGTCACCCTACCGTACATCAGAGACGTATCAGAGATGACCACAAGATTACTCAGACCCCTAGGTATCAGGGTAGCCCACAAACCAACAACCACCCTGCAACAGCTACTGACAACCGTAAAGGATCCCATACCTACAACCAATAAAACTAACATAATATACAAAATACCATGCAAGGACTGTGAGAAACATCACATAGGCCAAACTGGAAGAAAGCTGACAATAAGGATACATGAACACCAACCAGCTACCAAGAGACACGACCAATTCTCACTGATCTCAATACACACGGACAAAGAAGGACACAAATTCGACTGGGACAACACAGCAAACCGAGGCATATAAATAACAAGCAGGGCAGAACAGCAACACTTCACTGGAGGCACGCTGACGAGGTTACCTACCAGGGTGACAAAACGTCTGCAACCAAACACACCGGCTCGGCAAATAAGTTGTGATTATCAAATGCACAAGACTAGAAGAAACCCACCGACATATAAACAATACCCTCACTGGGATAAAATTCATAAAAGAGAACAATAACCCTTCCTAAATTACCCTTCCTAGGCATAATGGTAGAACCTCATTCACAACCCCAGCTATAAATCTTCTCAAAAACTT